TTATTTCTGACGAAAAATTTACGTGCAATTCAAAACTACAAATTTGTGCTTTCGTTACATTTCGGCCGCTTATCTGAAGACAATTAATTTTTATTGAGTCCGATATCTACATAAGATGCAGAATACAAGTCGCAGATCGTAAGCTTATTGCGTCAACCTCGAAGCGTCACTTTTAAAATTGATTCATCGGATTGATAAACTTGCGACCTGCGTTTCGCGTTTTATGTAGATAACGTTTTAGAAAGAGGAAAACTCTTAACTTAATTATTGCTTCATCTATTCATGTTCTCAAAACAACAGTATTTACTTACTAATATAGTATTTATTTACTTCAGCTTGACATAATAATTTTGAAAAATATTTAAATATTGAGCATTAAATAAGATAGTTATTTGTAACAATGATCTTATATCAACAATTTTTGTTTTGAAGGAAAAATAAAATATACATTCTCTATCTTATAACGTTTTTCACTGAAAAATTCATACAATACTAATTCATACAACATTAATATACGTATCTTCAGTGCTAATAGCCTCTTAAATCATATATTCTTTGTTATCATAATAATTTACCACTTTAAATTATTAATTAACACTATTCTTAATTATTTATTAACACTGCAAATGTGTAAACCGATTTGTACTGAATTGCATTAGCATTGTATTAGTTTTCCCAGTGGAAACCGCAATTAATATTGACGTCAAAATAGTATGATATTAAACAAGATTAATTAATTCCTAAATGATTAATTGTTCAACTTTTCGTGATAAGGAGAAAAATATCTGTACTATAGTATCGAGATTGCAAAAGCAGAATAAAGCGTGCATTAGAATAGAGAAATTCAGTCAGGATCCATTCAATTTAGAAAATTAATTAACGACTACGAGGAACTTTATGAATACCTGATAGTTGAAAAAGTCTGCGTATTATGTTCGAAATAAGCAAGTCATAAATGACATAACAAAACTTTTCACGTGATATTAAATTACACCTACTATTGTAATAATAATTCCTATTTTATATTATATATATAAAACCGATACTGGGAGGGAAAAATAACATCCCTGCCGTTAATAATTCCAGTGCAATCAAGTGCGCGTCTTTTGATTCGATTTTCGATACTGGACCAATTAAGAGATACGCACAAGCAATGAGTACATGTATAGGCTTTCGAATGGGTGTACGTATACAAGCTAGAAAGTAATTTGAATGAAAAAAAAGGAGGGTAACTGGTGGTGACGGTAGCTATGTGAAGTTTTGCACGTGAGAGTATTGGCGGCGTGCCATAGAAACGGACTGACCCACTTTTAACGCGTAGATTGACCCGCCTGGCGCCATTTTAACTTCAAGCCGTCGAATAGTCGCCATTCTTGATTTCAGTCTTTCCAGGTCGCCGCGAATGAATTGTTTAACCCTAAAAGAGACCTGGCATTTTCTGATAATTGTCGGCACAGTGCAATTAGGACGGAAAAAAGGGGCATGCAGAGATTACCACAATTTAAACGTCATCTTTACAATTTTAAATTATTAAATTTTATATTGAAGATAAAAAGTATAAAAAACCTTTGCAACTGTAAAAGATTTCTATCCATATAATGTGATGACTATTATCGCAGACCAATTACATCGATTGCGAATAATTCGTATAAGGAAATAACAAAATGCGTACAAGCTATTGTTATAATTATCGTTCAAATTTTGTATTTGATTTGATTTCAATGTTCCAAATGTATTGTAAATCACTTATATCGAGTGCGAACAATTCTGTATAATTAGGAATATTAAATTTTGTTATATTTGTCATTACGGTTATTAGTCAAATTATGTTTTTAGTTTAATTTAACGGATTTATGGTACTGAAGAGGGTCAAATCTTGACCGAAACGTCTACCTATTATTATGTTTAAATAATAATATAGAACTTATTTACATCCTTAGTTGTGGCTGTATGCTCTTTATTTTTTAACCTTTGTTATCTTTAAAATTTTTACTCTTCGAATTTAGTACGTTTCACGATTTTAATTATAGAAAAAATTAATTTGCAATCCTTATTTAATTTGATAGTACATAAATATATTAAATCATTTAAGTTGCAACACTTCTGTAATTAACACAATCAACTAGAAAAATGCCTATTAGCTGGATCTTCATTGCTTTTAAATAATTCAATTTTGAATTACTAATATACACTATGTACTTGCATATATATCATATTGTAGTCTTTTTAGAACTGCACGCCGAATTGTTTTTCCGGACTATGAACGCAATTAAAACTATTCTAGTAATCGCGAATTAAATTGGCAAGCAATTTAATAATTTGATGCTACTATCAAGCATCATATTATAAAGATGCTGATGTTAATATGTTAAAATTGTTAATAAATTTATTGCGAAAAATGCTACCTCGGTCGGAACTTGAACCCGGATCTCTTGTATTCCGTACGAGCATCCATTAGACCACCGAGGCCTTAGTAATATTCTTCGCAATAATCGGTACAATAAGGAAACTTCTGTAATTGATTAAATTACATTTAATAAAATTATCTTGAAGAAATATATTTAACCGTTTATTCGATTGCGAAAGGGTATTTCGAGGAGTATTGAGTAGCTTACCATTCAGTGATCTGTAGATCCGGATTCGATCCCACCTGCACCCATATAAGCAATTTTTCGCGTTAAGAAGTCCATCTGGGTATCGATCATGTAACTTTTTCTCTAGAGCGGAAACGGTGAAAAGTGGCATTTTTTATGTATATATGTATAAACATATACACACATACATACAAAAAATTTTCACTTTTCAATAATGTTTTCGCCCTAGGGAAAAAATTACACGATTGATACCCTGATGATTATGGTGATCTTTGATCACTAGCGTTAAACTGTAAGTCCCATATATTACGTTCACGTAGGTCACCACAGTGCGGTGTACAAGATTCGTGTCTCTCATAAACAGAGGACTTATATTTTATTTTTTCTCCACAATTTTCGTTCCCACAAAATTTAATATTTCTTTTGGTACGCCAATCGTTTAAATTTTTGTAGCATCTATGTCGTCGTCGGCGAAATACACGCTGAAAATGAATACGAAAGAAAAAAATATAAAGACTTTTATGTTGCACTCATTTTATAAATTATTATATATAAAAGTCTTCCTATAAAAAAAAAT